GGAGGTGTCGGCGGCCGAAGCCGTTCGCCGCTGCGTCGTCGCCTGGGTATCTCTCGGCCACTTCGCTCGTCGGCAGGGAAGGCAGTGGGGGAGAGCTTGTCGGCGGGAAGAAAGCTTCCGTGGGAGGGAGAGGAGAGGTTGTGGCGCTCACCGGCGGGGAAGGCACCTTTTTATATCCGAAGCGGGTGGCGGGCGGGGCAGCATGCGGGCGGACGCGTGGCCTATGCAAGCGGACGCGCGTCGGCGGCGTCTTCACTGCGCCGCCCGTGAGGCATCAATGGAGGCTGACCGGCACGGCAGCACGGCAGCCTTCACATTGATTCCCGCGGGAACCGAGGCGATGAGGTCGACAAAGTGGCCGTCTCGCTGACTCGGCCAGTCCGCGGCTGTTTTGCACCAAAACGCTCGCCCCGGCCTCCCCGAGCGCCCCCCGGCGCGTTGGGTTCGGCCTGGGTCCGCCGGCACTGATTTCGGCCCAAGCCGGCGAAAAACGGTCTCCTGGGGACGTGACTGGGCCGCTTTTTCTGCGCCGGCGGAGAAAAATTGTCTGGGGAGGTCGTTCTGGGGCCGCGGCTGGAGATGCTCTAAGCATCCTGCGATAAGGGGGTTTGCACTGAGAGAGGATAAAACGCCACATGTATATACCCATAGAGACATGATAACTGCACCACGATCGAGTTGGCTTACTCCCACGTAAACCGGAACAAAAGATTTTGCTAACTGACGCAAAACACAGTCCTAGAGGATCTGCGATGGGCCCAAAACACACAAAAGGAGCGCGTCTGGTTGACACAAAAATTACAGGCCCCAGCAAAGAAAAAGTAGCAATGCGTCTCACCAATACAGTCGGCAGCACACAAAACACATCGTCTTATGTTTTACTTAAATCAATCAGAAAACTGCTAATATATCCAACAGATCCTCCATCACCTGTGTCGAGCCCAAATGTGGCATTATATCATGTTCCTGGTTCCTTGGTCGGCGATCGTTGCGGGAGAAGGTGCTTGCCAATCACTAGTAGAAAAATGCCCATTTATCCCGGTTCATGAGGGCCATTTGTCCCGGTTGCCGAACCGGTACTAAAGGGTCGGTAGTAAAGCCCAATATCTTTAGTCCCGGTTCGGCCAGGAACCGGGACAGATGGGGCTCCACGTGGCCGCTGCTGCTAGCCCAGGCAGGAGGGCCTTTTGTCCCGGTTGATGCCAACCGGGACCAAAAGGCTTCCACGCGTCAGCAGTTCAGGGGCTGAGGTTTTTGTTTTTTCGGAGAGGGGGGGGAGGGGTTTTTGGGGGTTTTGGGGGATTTTTAGGGTTAATTTAGGTGTTTTGTATATTGTTTTAGCTAGCTAATAGAGAAGAGTGTTCACTCTTATCTCCGTGCTTGGTCGACGCTAAGTATTATACATATAGAGAGGACTCAACACGCTAGCTAGCTAGTAAGCAAATGAAGGAAACCATTAATTACAGAAGCTCGTTATGAACATATACAGAGAGAAGTGATCGACCTCTCCTTCTACGAGAGATTGGTCGAACAACAAGTTTTCGTATATCCACTAATAGAAAATAGGGCATACGTTCGGACCAGATAAGCCCATTAGTCTCGGTTCGGTCACGAGCCGGGACCCATGGGCCCATTGGTCCCGGTTCATGAGGCCAGGAGGCCTGCCGGGCTTCGTGGGGTATTGGTCCCGGTTCGTCTGGACCCTTTGGTCCTGGTTGGTGGGACGAACCGGGACCAATGGGCCTCGCTCCTGGCCCACCACCATTGGTACCAGTTGGTGGCTTGAACCGGGACCAAAGGGTGGCCATTAGTCCCGGTTCATGCCACGAACCGGAACCAATGAGGTGCTTATATATACCACTCGCCGGCGAGCAAAGCACTCCACTACTCTATTTTTCTTGCCGACCGTTGGAGAGCTTTGTGGTGCTCTAGCTCACCTCCTATGAACACTAGGTGTTCGATGAAATGTCCGAGCCACACTACTTAAGCTTCCTCCTACCCATGTATGTCCGGGTACCCTGGCCCTCTCTCCCCATGTATGTCTTATAGGCACGGGGGAGGCCGAAACATCACTTGTTTGAGATGCTATTTGTTAGTCAGGATGGACCGATCAAGACTGTGACATGGCAAACAACGTCAGTGGTGCCTCGGTTCTTGAGCACTCTACTAGCGTCATGAGGTGCACCATTCCCCGTCAACAATTCGTCTATTGGTGGAGTGGATCATGGGAATCTGACTGGATGCTGGCCCCATGATTCAACTAATGAAATTCCTTCTCGAGTAGCTTCCTACCGAGCGTAAAGAGACTTAGCGATTCCTGCATAACGTTCTCAGGACGGTTGAGTGACACTCGGGGGTTAGTGAACACGGACGCACCAACTGAGTCAGCTTCTCGAGCCCAGCTATAGATCAAGGAAGGTATCAACTTGCAAGCACGAAAGTGGCAGTACAGCTGTGCTTGACATGGTTAGACGGGACCAAAGGCCCGGAACCCAACGATGGACAATCCTGAGCCATGCAATCCTAGCTTGACCAAGTATTTAAGGCAAGCTAGGGACCTTTTCGATATGTACTACCGGCCTCAAAACATGAGAATCAACTAATTTCAAAAAAAAAACATGAGAATCAACATGCGGAAATGCAGTCTGCACTGAACTTTGGATAGCGTCTTCTTTGTTCGGAATCCGATCCTCGCGTACGCACGGAAGGTCCCTCGCGCCACCCCGCTAGGGCGACACGGGGGCGATCTCGCGCCGCCGCCGCTAGGCTTCCCCGCGTCCCCTCCATTCCTCACCGCTGCCAGAGGCTGGCGCCGGGTAGGCCTTGGACGCAGCCAAGGAAGGTGGCGGCGGGGAGCTGCTTGCGCTTGGGTAGGCGGCTGGATCGGATCCGCCTGATCGGTATGGCCATTCGGAGGAGCTTTCCTCTGCTTGGTCAGCCGGTGCGGCGATCCAGGGTGAGGCCATGGATCGGACATGGTTGTTCCGTCTGATCCTTCCGGTCGTTTGGGACACTGCCGGTTGGGCTCGCCCGGAGATGCCTGATCTGGATCGGGATGCCTTTTAGCCTTCGTCCCTTGCTAGGTGTTCTTCTCCGTACGGATCTGGGTCGCAATACTTGACGATCCTCAATGCGGACGGACAGTGGCGGAGCTAGATGCAGATTACGCCTGGGGCTGTGCTATGTTGAGTGATAAACTTCTATGATTTTCTACGCCTTGCATTAAGAAATTACAAAGGAAGTTGTTTCTAGGCCTGGGGCTACAGCTCTAGCTGTCCCAGGCCTGTCTCCGCCACTGCGGACGGAGCTGGAGGTGAGGATTCAGATCGAGAGAAATCCCTAGTCGACCATTCGGCTGTGGCAGCAGCGACGCCTGAGGGCGCCGCTTTCTTCTCCATGGAGACGCGCGTCAGATCTACTTGTACTTCCACCACGTCATTTGTCTCCCGGGTGAAAGCCCTAACTATGGTGGGTGGCGACGGCGCCTTTGGCATCGTTCCCTTCTTGAAGGCGCCGCCTTGGGAGCTGTGTTACTGTGGACACCGTTGGGTGGGCGTTGGCGGTGATCTGGATTAGGAGGTGGACCGGTGTTCATCATATGCATCGACGCCGATGGATCTCGGCAGCGTGGCGCAGTGGAATCTCGGCGTCCGATGCTGATTGATGGATTCGCGCAGGAGGAAGGCATTGTTTGGCGTCACGGTGGCGTTGACGGTAGGCCTGGTAAAGTCGACGCGTCAGCGTCTGCTCTGAAGATGGATCGATGGAGGATGGCGGCCGCTGCCTCAGAGAGTGTGCCGGACCGGTTTGCACCCTACACCCGACAACTGGCTTAGTTGGGGCCTCCGGCTTTAGATGTTAGGCTTTGATGCGAAGTCTATTTGATATTCGGCTCGGACTATTGGCACCCCTTCATCAAATTGACGGGAGTAGCAACAGATGTTGCCGAGATGGTGGTTTTATACTTACTGATGTATTACTTTGTAAGGTCTTTGTGAATAATTAATAAAATAGTTGCATGCATCACCCAGATGCAGAGGCCAGGGTCAATCCTCCTTTTCAAAATAATAATAATAATAATAATAATAATAATAATAATTTGTGAGGTAGCAGTGTGATTTTCTATGCATAAGTATCTGCAATGATTGCATTGCCTTTGATCGGTAGACGGATCTTTTTGGCTTTTGTAACAGCTGAGCACTTGGTAATAAAGTAAGGTCGTGCGTAAGGATGGCAATGTGTAGGGTATGGGGCAGGTAGAACAATACCATACCCATATCCATGTAGTTAATGGGTACGAAATTATACCCATACCCATATCCATGGGTATGAAACTTTATCCGTATCCATACCCGATGGGTACTCTACCCATTGGGTACCCAGTGGGTAGATCAAACAGTAAACAATTTAGCCGCAATTTCACATTCGTCTATAGCACATTTGACAAACAAACATTTATCTCAACTCAATAATAGATAGATGAGTACATGACAATTATCTCAAATCAAATTGACAACTGGTGTCGATTTTAACATAGGTTCACAAGCTCACGATACAACTTCAACATAGCTAGACTTGTGAATTGTGGGCAAGGTTCACATGCCAGTATTAACGGGTAGAATATGGGTATTTCCATGGGTAAAAGGCTATACCCGTGCCCGACCCATGACTTAATGGGTAGGGTATGAGTACTACCCGTGGGTACAAAATCATGCCCATACCCTATCCATGCGGGTACGATATCCGCGGGTATCCGTACCCATGGGTAAAATTGCCATTCTTTGTCGTGCGCATCAATCAACACAAGTCCTGACACTGAAATGTATCCATTCTGCATATATTATTAGATAGTTCTTCCTTGCTACGATGTTCCATCCATTTTGTTCGCTTTGCTGCGAAATAGGAAGGTGCAACTCAACTCTTCCCAGAAAACATAATACACGAAGAGGTAGCCCTTGTCAACCTCATGGACAAACAAACCACGCGCATGATGGTCTTGCCTACATCGCCGTGCGGTTGTGGTACTTGTAACGCCTGTCGCAAGCGAGGAAGTAGGCAAAGTTGAATGTGCCCACCGCCGCAAGCGTCCAGTAGACGTTGTCCAGCCTCCCATGGTCTATGTTCTCCGGCAGCCACATGGTGACCCGCGCCACCACATCCATGAACATAGTGCTTGAGAAGAACCCCAGCGCGACGAGCATCGGCGCCATGGCCGTAGCCAGGCTCCGTAGCGTCTTGGGGAACTCCTGGTAGTAGAAGGCCATGTTGCCAGGAAAGTGTAGGGCCTCCCCGACCCCAGCGATTCCCATCGGGAACAGGAGCCACATCACGGACATGGGCACGCCAGGCTGTGCAAGCCTCCGGCGCTCCACCAGTGCGGCGGCGACCAGGGCCCCCACGTTCAACACGTGGCCGATGCCCACGCGCTGCAGCGGGGTCGGTGGCGTGCCGCCGGTGATCCTGCGCCAGAGAGGGAAGATGGCGCGGTCCAGGACCAGGGTGGCCAAGATGAACGAGACGCGACAGCTGACGCCGACCGACCCCGCCGGGATGCTGAAGTGTGGTCCGACGGAGCGGTCCATGGCGAGCGCCTGTAGGACGATCATGCCGATCATCACGCCGATCGACATGAACAACAGTATGCCGGAGGACCAAAGCGGGAAGACGCTGACAACGGCCTTGAGGTCTTCCACTTGCTGCACCGTGCACAGCCGCCAGGCGCCAGCTGACGCATCCCCGGAAATGGATGATTTGTCGCTTGTAGTGATCATGGCGGCTCGATTCAGAAATCTGCAAGAACAAGGTCCAGCGGATGCATGATTCACCGATCCGGTGTCCTGTTTGGAAAACAGCTACAGAGGAAATGCCACCTACGTACTAGCTTACCTTAGGCTTTTACTTGGTGCCCCATCGCCGGATGGGTCCACAACAGCGCCGGCGCCCACATTGTACTGCACACTGCCTTGTGCGCCGCCGACTTTGATGCTACCCTTGCGCACGGCGGCCACGATGACGCGAGCCAGCTCTGTGTACGGGCTGGCCTTTGTTGCTGGCATCCGGTAGTAACACACGCCTAGAAGAAGCATGATTGTGCCGAATGCCGTCGTCGCGAGGCAAACACCAAAGCCCACCGCCCATGACACACTGTCTTGGATGTAGACGATGGCTGTGTCGCCGAGCATGAAAGATGCGTAGAGGAAGACCAAGTACCAGTTGAAGAAGCTGTCCTTGTCGTGCGTGCTGTTGAACTGGTCCGCCCCCATTGTCGCGATGTTGAAACGTGTCCCGCCAGCGCCAATGGCGAGAAGACAAATGGCAGCGTACAACACAAAGAGTTGCCCGGGGGATCCTTGTTGGCACTCAGCCGACGACAATGTGCAGTGTGGCGGCCTCAGGGATGGCAGCGCCGCGGTGAGTGTGAACAGCACAAAAGCCTGTATAATTACATCGTGAAAAACAATATTAACAAAAAAGACGATCATTTGCCATGGACCGTCAGGCTCAAATGCCTGAGAAACAGTTTTTATTGCGGTGCTTCAATTTTTTGTGTTGCATAAAAGGGAAGAGAATGCTGAAAACAACCAAGTGCTCATTCTGTTTACATGGTTTCCTAATCAAGGGAATAGGAAAATTAACAAGATGATATAGGAATCCTCCAAAATATTACAAATCAAATGATCCCTAGCGACTCAATCTATGGATTGTTGCATTCATTTGTGGTGATAAGGGACTGCTGGTGTTGCAAGCATATAAAAGTCATTGTGCAGTGATGTTTCCTTAATGGTATGGTAAGATGTTGACAGTGGTAAATGATGATTTGTTGACATGTTGCAAACACATGAACAAAATGTTTGCATCATAAAAATAACTAGTGCAAAGAGTGAGTGGGTTCTCACGCGCCTAAGAATTTGCACATCGTTTTTGCACCAACAAAAAAATGATATAATAATCACTATAAAGTTTCATGTCACCAGGGGATTTATATGCTCAAGCCTCTCTCATCTTCAAAATATTTATGTGTAAAGTTCATGGTAATAATTTATTGAAATCTGGATATGAAATGATCAGCGTATGCATTTTGAGATAGTTGCACGAAAGAGAGTTTTCTTTGTTTTACGTGAGGAGCATGTGTTGCTATTTGTCATTATCTTCGGATAAACGTGAAGTTGTCATGCATGGACAATTGAAATGGTTATTTTGATAGATAGCGTGACATGTTTTTCTTGACATTATATTACATGACATGACCATATGAATACTTTTGTTGCACATCGAACCGTGAGTTTCTTTTTGTTAGTAGAAAAAATAAGAGTATAATTCCACGGCAGATTACTCCTTCCGTTTCATAATTCTTGTCTTGGTTTTAGTTCAAGAACTAAAACCTTAGTCTTTTTTTAGAACACTAAAACCTTAGTCTTGATCTAAAACCACGACAAAAATTATGGAATTGGAGGGAGTACTTAAAATGGAAATAAATTATGCATAAGAAGGTTCATAAAAGGAATATGGACACCCTATATGACTAAGTAGGCGATGTCCACAAACATATTTATCTCAACATAGAACTATGCCACCTCCAAGGGCCACCTAACATGCGAGCATGCATGCAGAAAATCAAATGTTTTAATCTATTATGTTTATATTCAATGTATATTTTATAATTATATAATAATCATATGTATTTTCATTTTTTCCTCTTACACTATTAATCCAAATATTCACGTTCATATTATTCCTGTCTTCTATATCTAAATAGCTAGCACCCACTAACCCATTCCCTCAAACCCAAGCATGTCACCATATCATACAACATGCATGCGAAAATGCACGATAATATTCACCCACTAACCCATTCCCTCAAACCCAAGCATGCATGATAATATTCATTTCACAATGCTATTTATTTTTATGAATACCACTATAAAATAATCAACACAATAAATAATATGTGTTTTATTTTTATCCTCATATTATTACTACAAATATTCAGTAATTTTTATAGTTACATATAATAATATGTATTGCTAGCTAGTTTTTGTTTATATATGCTTAATCCAAATATTCATATTTGCATAACCAAACTTCATTGAAATATATTGCAAGCAATTCCGGCGGTAACGCATGGTGTATCATTTAGTTTTAAAGATGTGTTTCCGACGCTACTTATAGTTCGGCTCTATGAAGGACTAGTGTGCAATGACGCTTGAAAAGTTGTTGTCATCTCTCAAAGTTGGTCAAAACGGAGTGCGACAACTTAATTCGGTAGAGGTCGGACCAGAACGTTGATGGCGGCGCCGGCGAGGATGACGGGGAAGCAGCCGAGGTAGGAGTCGGAGAGGACAGCGCCGGCGATGGGCACGAGGTTCAGGGAGCCGCGGACGACGTTGGCGATCTGCGCGGCTTTGACGCCGTCCACGTGGTACTCCTTGAGCAGGTACACCAGCATGTTGCTGGTCGTCCCGTTGACGGCCAGTCCCAGCCCTAGCATGGTGGCTGCATGCATGTTTTACACACCATACCAGGGAGTGAGTGGCCATGAAAACACGGAGAGAGAGAGAGAGATAGAAAGAGAGGCTGCATGCACGTACCAACTATGAAGGGAAGAGTTATCCACCCTCCTCGCTTTCCGCCTGCCTTGGTCTGGGCTTCTTGATCCTCGAGGTACTGAGGTCTCGGGGAGCTGTCCATCTCTGGCTAGCTGTTGATCCTCCTACTAGTTGGTCTGGTCTCTGGAGGGCTTGAGATGCACGGTATATATAGACATGGAAATGAGGCATGTTGCAGCTGTGCTGGGTACGTTGCTGGTGGCGGCAAATAATGATAAACAAAAACACTATGACGCCTGATAGATTCCCAATCATACTACAAGGATATGGCCACGTCTGTCCGCGTCGTGGTTTAAAGGGCCCTGCTTTTTTGGCCTGAACTCTTTGACATTTGGGCAATTCAGATTTTTTAGACTTGGCAATATTGACGCCCTGCTTTTTCTGGCCGGCCCTGAACTCTTTGACATTTATCGAGGTCAGGATTGCGAGCACTCTGGCTGAATTCGCCGCAGGTGATTTTAACATCTCGTTTAGGCTGGATGTAGTTGCACATGCTCGAGACTTACCTCTCAACACTCTTCCTGATGGTATAGTTTGGTCCCTTTCCAGCAATCGCAGATTAACTACAAAGACAGTGTATGAGTGGTTAGAAAAAGATATTGTTGGGTCCCATTGGAAAGCTTGTCTCCCCCTGAAAATCAAGATTTTTGGCTTACAATTATTTCAGAATGCAATTTTGACACATGATAATATGCGAAAAAGCAATTGGCCTGGCAATCCTTCATGTTCTTTTTGTGATAATGCTGAATCTGCCAATCGCTTATGCTTTACTTGTTCTCTAGCTCGCTTTTTTTTTGGAGAGCCTTTAGGGACTGATTGCTGCCCTACCAACTTAAGGCAAAGTTCTGCTTGGTTAAATCCATCCCTTCCTGGAAATTTGGTGGAAATTTTATATGACGTGCATCGCTGGAATTTGCTGGGTGATTTGGTCCACCCGTAACAACGTAACATTATTTGATGGGCATATTGTTAGATATTTCCTGGAGGGAGGTTGTCTTCACTTCTTGCTCTTTTACTTTGTACTGGGCAGGTTTGCTGAAGGTGAATGATCATACTTCATTCCAGGCTGGGGTGGAAGCGGTTCTCATGACGGCGTCGTTCATGGCTGATTGTGCAGAGGGGCTGAGAAGGCTGATGATTCAAAACACGATGGATGGTTGAAGCCTTGTCATCCTTTGGACGACCGCGGATTATGTTTCCTTTGGTGTTGTTGCCTGATGCTTGGTGTTTCATACAATATTAATCCTATATGTTTTGGTGTTTTGGTGTATTAGGTTGCTGTTTTGGTGTAGTAAAACTCGCATCAGTGCTAACGTTTTTGTTCCGCGACGGTGTGCGCTTGCAATGGATTTCCTATTGGTGCTCCAGCTCGCTCCCCGGTGTTCCTTTTGTTGTTCTATATGTTTCGTTGTGAATGATCTCTTCTCTTCCTACTTTCAAAAAAGGTGTAAGATTCTGTCATTTGCTCATTTCTCGTCCAACCTTACATACATTTCCCCCTTCTTTTTCTCTTTTCAGCCCCCTTCTTCTCTTTTCAACCCCCCACCCCCCTATCTTCGGTTTATTCCAACAGTTTTCCCTAAAAACCACCTCAAATGCCTCCCATCTTATTGACTTACCAAATATATTTTTTATGGAACGGCTTAGGACCATATCTTAAGTATTACAGGTCCTTACAAACACACAGTTATAGAAAAAAATACGTTCAAACTCTTGGCGGTGCCGAAGTCTTGTTCCTCCTAGACTATATTTATATGGCCTTCAGATTTCACCAGCAAGCCCGTAGATTCGCCTCCCTTTTGTCTGCCGCTCCGGCGTTC